GAGGCACACGGGCGGGGTGAGCCGCAAAACGTCGAACTTAAAACTTACACTCACTATTTTCTTCGAAAATATACGTGAGTTCCACAAAATGATTGGAAGTTGACAAAAATCATACACTTAATCGAAAATAACTGAAAGAAATCGAAATTTTATTGATTATTTTAGTTAATTTCGTTAATAGTCGCTTAAAAATTATGAAAAAAAGCATAAATTTTCAATGGTTTTTCTTCAGGACAAATGACAAAAATATTTAACTGATTTTCTTTGATTTCCATCGGTCATAATCAACTTTTTGTGAAGTTTTTATCGATTATAATCGAAATCAATCAAAACAATCGTTGAAACCTTGAGTTTTTTTGGTTATTTCTGATTAAAATCGATTAAAGACGTAGAATTTTTAATCGAGTTCTCATCGTTTTCTAGCCGAATTTTCTCTGATTTTCACTGTAACTTTCTATGTTGTATCCAGCTCCGATGGTAATCACATAAGCGTGGATCGGTAGCTTATTAATGTACCACAAGCAATAACTCAATGTTGACTTATTCTGGCAAGTAACCAATGAAAAGTTAACACTTGAGTCCATCACTTAGCGGTGTGCATAAAAGATGATAAATATTAGTGGGAGAACTCGCGTTAGTCCAGATGAAGTACGTGTCTAAATCTATTTCAGTGGATTTAGAGAAACATGGATCCGTCGCTAACTAGTTGTCTGATAAGCAAAAATAATACTTTTCAGTGAATAGGCTTTTCCAAAATTTTTTGCAAACTACACGTCCAGAACGGTGGGGCCAACCAAAACTGGGTATTTCTAGACAGAGAGGAGAGATGAATAAAAAACTGCCATTTTTATCTGAACGTTCTTTATGAATGACCTCAAATGCTTCGACACCTTGGAACGTTCCTTAGTAGGTGTCCTACTAGTGGTATAAAATTTCAGCTAGATCAAATCATGTGTAGTCAAGATATCGAATATATCAATAAAATAATACAGTAAAACTAGTAATAGTAATGAGCGTATACGTCTGTTCAATAGACCTGGAAGAGTAATCCCTGATAAGGTATTTAATAAGTTATTGAGGTCTATCTTTTCAGGATATAGGCGATTCAAAAGTGATTTGACAGTTGCATATATCCTCTCGTTAGATGTAGATACGAAATCACTAAATCAAAGATTGAGCATCTTTATAGCAAAAACTCAACACATTCAGAGAGGATCACATATAAGCAAAATATTAGATATCTCAGTAGTATTTGTCGGTTTTGATTATCAATAATTGATTTATATGAAAAACAGTATTCTGGATTTACTACCGTACAAGTATTACAATATGTACTTTGTTCAGATGCAACGTTTAAAAAAACGATAATTAATTGTTGTTTGGATTACTTTAGCCGATATTTGACATAAAGAAGTTAAATTTTTTATCATAGACAGTATTGTATAATGTATCGCGAGCCAATTTTTTTCGATTTCAGTAAGTATATAAACTAGATTATAAATACTTTTCGATTCTCTATTTTAATGACTTATTATTCATCTCAGACGTGCGCAAAATCAAATATTCATTATTTCTTCTATCTTGGTATGAAAAATATCGATCAATTGCCTTAGGAACGAGAAAAGGCTAAAATAGCGCTGCTGCATATCTTATGAAACGACCATCTTTATTCTAAACTATCAAGACTATAATGAACACAGTAATCAAAGAGAAAATACTCTAAACAAATTTTTTTTCCATCCACCTCTGTGGATAGCTATGAGCGTCGTTATAAACATCGGAGAAGAGGAAAGAATAAATATCTGATATGACGACCTAAATTATAAAGTATTTTAATTTTGTGCTTCAACATACATGATCAATGTTATAAAAGTTTCCATTCTATACCTTGGAATTCTAAAGAGTAATCTAGTCATTATATTTCGAATGACATTCATATAACTTATTAAGGGTAATCCTGAATCTGGCCGAAAAATAAAAATGCCGAAAATAAAATAAGAGTGAGAGACGGAAGTGCAGGAGTGAGAATGGAGGTGAGGGCAATTTCCACTTCCTTCCACTTTCATTTCTCACCTTTCGACATGTGTGTTATTCCTTGTTTCCGACATTTTTCATTTTCGACATATTTCCTTTCGTTATTTTTCTTTCCGACGTTATTCTAGAGAATCTTTACTAATTCCTCTAAAAGGAACTATTTACTGACTGAAAAAGCATTCTATTACTTGAATACATTCCCTCGTGAATAATTTAGATACCGGCTCTTAGAAAAGGTCAAAACAAATAGTAAGTAACTTGAAATTACGCTGTAAACTCACCCTTTTCATCTAATTGTACTCCATTCGCCGCAAAATCGAGTTTAGTCATTGTGTCAGAATGATCACCAGAATTAAAATTGGAGCCGTTTTGTTTTTGTGTTAATGGATGTTTCCTCTTAGGAACCACTTCGAGATGGTCATCATCAGTTTCACTCTCAGAAATACTGCACTCCATTCCGACTCGTCTCATAGATTTCTTCATAATTTTATCTCCAATTCGAACACGAAGAGATACAGAATTAAGTTGATTTCTCTTATGAACTATAGCATCATCTAGAATAAGAGTATATTTGTCACCCTGTTGAAGCGATGATTTGATTCGGGCTTCGGTGCAAACTTGTTGCCAAATAGTTGGACATGACTGATGTGGTAGACGAGACGACACAACACAATAAACTACAGATTTGAGACGATTTTCAGAAAGAATACTTGCTGCTTCACCTAACAAAATGACGCCAATCGAGCGTTGATCATGTATAAAATTATTCGGTTCATCAATCCAGTGATGTTTCAGTTGCTCTTTCAAATGAAGACCATCACAAGTCGATAGAATACTCAACGAGAAAAGACTTGAGTCAAAGGGCGAGACACAATTGGTTTCACAATTATTCAAACCAATTCCAGACTGCTTGACAGAGCCTGTTATTTGCTTGAAAGAATGCACAATATTGAGTATGCCTAGCTGAGACAACGGTACTATTGCTTTAACAGAACTTTGTGCAAATATCGGCATTTTGAAGATAATAGATTTTAAAATACTTGTCAGGTTATCAAATAGATGTGCTAAATATTTTAAAAGTCGCTCAATATCATTCGTCAAAGGACGATGGTAACTATGAACGCCATATTGATTAATTAATATTTTAATGCCTTCGTTGTGATCGACACGAAAATAACCAAATGCATTTAATGATTCATATCTTGACTTATCTATTTGATTTCGAGAGAAAAATTCTCCGAGGATTTTTTGAACTTCATTTATCTTCTTGGTTAATTGCTCACTTTGATCAGGTAATCGAATAAAACACCAACCATTCGATTCAAATCCGTTTTGTAAACGAATGATTTCGTCTGACTCACCAATCAAGAGTTTATCAAAATCAACAATCATAGTGTTTCTGTAATTCGGTTTAGACATCATAAGAGTGAAGAGACAAGAAAGAAAGCTGCTAGTATAGAATGTGCAGTAAGCTTGTATCCTATTTTGTAAAGCGGTAGAATGATGTATCTATTTACAACCAGTTTGTCGTATTACCTTGTAGAAAAGAAATATGGGAACGAACTAACGACTTACGTATTTACGTTGCTCGAAGATAAATCTAAGTGGTGTGATAAGATTTGCTAGTTGTACATCGTTGATATGCAGCAAGTGTCCCTGATATCGACAGCAAAAAAATGCCTCATCTTGTTTGAGTTCGTGCATAACTATTTGACCTATGATTGAAGATATTTTTCTATATGTATGATCACTAGATTCTCCCCTTTCGAATGATATATGAACGAGTTTTCTTCTCCAATATTGTGATAGAGAAATCAGTGGTCTACGATCATGTACTTCAACTATCGAAATTAGACGCCCTTGTCTTAAAGCCGAGAGGAAGTCACTTTTTATCCCTAATTTCGACACTTCTAGAAAATTCAAGCGAAATCTCATTTTTGAAAGGGAAGAAGTTTTTTTATGGTTTTGTGAAACACGATCTGAAAGGAGTGTTGAAGTGTTTAGGGTAGAAATTTTGGAC